CTAAGAAGAGGCAGAAATCTCCATACTGTACTGAATCATTGGGAGCTTCATACTCTGGAGTGGAACTGTCCAATACTTGGAAGAACCGGACCATGATGTCTTTGAAGGGCAAGAGAGCTGTATTTCCAGTGCTGGAATTGGTACTCGACACCAAAATCTGTCATGTCAACACTGCCAGATCTGGCGCCCCTTTTGGTGACTCGGGTTACAGAAACAACTCCGATTTACTCCAGCTTGTTTCTTGACTCCAAATGACATCTTTGTGCTCCAAGAACTGGATTCATCATTACTTTCCAACCACAGTGCCCGGTATTGAGACTTTAGCCAGTACTGAACTCCCTGCGGTATCTCTCTGTGTCCCTGTCCTCGAGTAGGGACCAGATTGTTGCCGGTACCATGGAGTGGAGGCAGATTATCACCATCTCCTTCAGCACTGAGGGTTCACCCACTGCCATTCAGTCCCCCACTTCCAACGAAGATTTTGATCATGGGTGCATCCCACTTAGTTTCGGGAGCACTTCTGTAAGAGCATGTTGCTTAAGGGAAGTATCTGATCAGAATTCTATGTTTCACATCATGTTGAAACTGAGAAGAGTCAGACTGGCCTACAATCCCTCACATCCGTGGCAAGTCAGTCCAGGTGGTGTTGGACAACATAATGGCAGTTTATTATGTCAACAAGCAGAGAGGAGCATGCTCCTCACAGCTTTGTGCAGAGACTGTTGCCCTTTGGAACTGTTGCAGTCTCATGCAAATTACCCTGACTGCCGTCCACTTGCCTGGCATCCAGAACACACTGGACTACTCTTAAAGCAAATGAGATTGGGAGCTGCATGACCTGTCCCTCCAGGAGATATTTCAGCCATGGAGTCTTCCACAGATCTTCGTGCCACATGCGAACAAGTGCAATGAGTTTTGTTCCAGAAGGGGTTGCAGCCAAGGCTTTCCATATGAAGCTTTCCACATAGAACTGGGGGTAAGCTCACACCCATTGTCTTGTTACCATGGGCATTGAGGAAAATTAGACAGGATAAAGCACAAGTGACTTTCACAGCACTGGCTTGGGCCCATAAGTTCTGGTACCCTGTACTTTTTCAACTGTCAATCTGATCCCATCTCCATCATGTCCTGATACGATCCCTCTTAACTCAAGACAAGGGAAGAATTTACCACTCCAACCCAGCCATGAGGGCGTGGTATTTGGGTAGATGTTGTTGGAGGAGTTCAAGACATCCTGAGCAGTAATAGAAAGGACACTACCAGGAAATGTTACAAAGCAGTGTGAAAAAGTTTGACGTTTTGGTGTGACCAAGCAAGGCATCTCTTCTTTATGAGCACAGATTTCTGGACATATTGGACTGTCTCCTATCCCTAAAATCCATGGGGCTGTCTGTTAATTCCCACAGAATACACCTGGCAGCCATCAGCAATTTTCATCTGGTGGACATCTGTTCTATCTCAGCCAGTTATATCTTCCTCTTAAAATATATGATTAGAGCCTTCCTTCTGGTGGCTAAACCTATACCAGCTGTGGTTTGAATCTTTTTTTATCAACCGTGACTAAATCACTTTTTGAGCTGTTACATCTGACTCCTGGGGGAATTCTGCACGTGCGCAGAATTCATGTTCTCCACAGGTTTCTTTGCTTCCCTGCAGAAAAATGACACTCTGACAGGGAAGCAAAGGGAAGCTGCAAGAGCAGTCATGCGCCACTCCCTAGCTGTACAGGTACATCATTTCAGGTACCCAGAGCAGCCAGCGGAGAGGTAAATCGCCACAGGGCTGGGGACACACCAGCCAGTGGCTCCTACCCTGAGCCGGGATCAGTTGCTAGTCCTGGCTGGGCTGGAGGCAGGGACTTCCTCTTCCCCTGCAAGGGGTGGCTGGGGATGTGAGACCCACCCTCAGAAACCTCCCCCAGCTGCAGGACCTCAGCATCCTCCCCTGCTTCCTGCCCCCATTGCTCCGCAGCTGCAGGGGAGGGGTCACTGTATGGGGAGCTGCTCCCCCATCTGCCCAACCCCTGTGGATCTGGACCTCCTATCCCAGACACCCCTGCCAAGCCTCACCCAGAACTCCCTAGCCCTCCATACCCGAACCCCACCCCATTGAACCTCAATCCCTGCAACTGGAGCCCCCTGCACCCAGACCGCATGCCTCCAGACTCCAACCCCTGTACCCAGATGACCCCCATTGAGCTCTCTGCACTTAAACCCCCACCCGCTGCACAACCCTGAGCCCCAACATCCAGACCCCCACGCCACTGACCCCCAGTTCGCTGCACCCTGACCCCCACCCCATCAAGCCCCACTCCCCCAGCACCCAGACCCTTTTGTTGAGACCCCCACACTCAGACCCCTCTGCTGAGCCCCAAGCACTTTCACCTGGAAGCCCCTGCAGAGTCCCATTGCTCCTGTACCTGAAACCCCCCCCCCCCCCCACACACACACACACAAGAGCCTCTGTGCATCCAGATCCCCCCACACCTAGACCCCCCGCCCCCACTGAGCTGCCTACAGAATCCTCTCACCTCACACCTGGATCCCCCCACAATAAGCCCAACCACACTTGGATCCTGCTTGGTTGAGCCTGCCTGCCCCACACCTGGTACGCCTGGTGCAGAGGAGCAGGGCCCTAAGGTTTTTCTGAGGCAGGCCCAGGCCTTATGTTGGATCAGGGTAGGGTGCAGCCTCACCACTGAGTCCTTGTCCGAGGGATGGGGAGACTGTAGGGTGATCTCTCACCTTCATGCAGCCAGTGGCCTGTGTTCCCCACTGCCATGCTGGAGCCTCTGCACTTCTTTATTGACAAATAAAGCTTGCAGAATTTTAAAATATTGTGCACAGAATTTTTCATTTTTTTTGGCGTGGAATGCCCTCAGGAGTAATCTCTCTGTGAAGGTAGCATTTTTGGTCGCTATCATGTCAGCCAGAAAAATTTGGGCGTTAAGGGTGCTCATGGCAGACCTCCCTTACACAATTTCCCACAAAGATAAGGTAACCATGAAACTTCATCAAAAGGTTGTCCCGAAGGTGTATTCTGTGGAAATTAATAGACATTGACCAAAGTATTGACTTACTGGTGTACTACCCTAAACATGAGTCTAGCAGGGAACTGGTGTGTCACTCACTGGACGAGCATAGGACTCTTGCCTTTTGTCTGTAAAGAACCAAATCATTCTGAAAGTCTCTTAGGCTCTTTATATCACTTGCAGAATGAATGAAAGGAGAGGCCATTTCCTCCCAGAGGCTGTCAAAATGGATTTTGGGATGCATCCTACTCTGCTACCTGATGAACCCTTGAAGGCAGTGTATGAGCATATTTGACTGGTGCTCAGAAAACATTGGTAGCTTCCTTTAGAGACATCCTATTACTGATGTCTGCAGAACAGCAATTTGGAATTCCATACGCACTTTTGCTAGACGCTGTGCACTGGTGCATGTAGCTGCCTGTGGTGCTTCTTTGGGCAGCCAGTTCTGCAATCTGTTGTGTCATATTGCTCCATGCACTCTCCTCATTGAAAAGAGACTGCTTGCGAATCATGTGGAGTATCCTATGCATAGGGACAATCACTCAAAGAATATGGGTTACCCATCTTGTAGTAACTTGAGTTCTTCAAGATGTGTAGTCCCTATGTGTAGTGTGCTACCCAACCTCCTCCTTCACTGCCTGGTTTCCCCCAGTGTGAATAGCAGTAGAGAAGGAACTAAGAGGGTAGTGGTCCAGCAACCCCCTTTATCCCCTCAGTGTGGAGAGCGAGGGCGCATGCTTGGGCAAAATCTCCAGTCCTGGACTCATGGAGCGCATGCGCAGCCTGAAGTGCACTACAAATAGGGACAACATATTAAAGTTGCCACAATGTGAGTAACACATCCTTTTAGTTTTATTAATGATAACTTTTGTTGTAGAGGAAAACTTAAGGCAATATTCAGTTACAAATGTGAAACATCTGGTAACTGCAAATGTCATTACTGGTTGGTTATTTTTTGTTGCCGTGATTGTTACTTCCACCATCTGAGAAGGAAAAAAGTCTCAACGTGTAGCATTCAAATAGGAAGTATGTTATTGCATTTTGGAATCTGATGGTTCTCTGCAGCTCTCTGATTTCCTTCCTGCTTATCCCCACTAATGGTGCCACTTTGGGTGTGGTGCTTGAGGAAATGTCTGAGAGTGAATGTATTTTTCAGAGTTGAAAGACCTCTTCTCTCTTCTCCCCCCCCCCCCCCCCAGCTGCAATCAGAGGGAATATTTTGATTGTTTATGCAATTATATTAATTTTAGACATCTGCTCGGGCATAATTTTAAAGCCTGCCTGAATTTGACTAGACCACAGCCAAGCCGAACCCTAGCCCAAGTGTGTTGAGTTGTTTTCATACCTGATCCAAATACTAATAGTCGGGTCTGTTGGGTTTGTGTTAGATTGCAAAGGTCTGTTCACCAACCCAGACTCCATTTTCTTTACCTTGTTTCCTTCAGTGGAACTAGGGGGACAAATTACCCACCCTGCTCCAGCCAGGGAGTCAGTTCCCCTCTCCTCTGGGTCACTCCCATGGAAACTGTGCCAGTGCCACTGCCTCATCCTTAGGCTTGGCCTGGCTACTCCCCATACCCCGTGTCTGTCTCCAGCCGCCTCCTGCCCATGAGGCTGGTGTGGTGATGGCTGAATGCCCCGTTCCAGCCAGCCACCATCGCCTCGCTGCTAGGTCTCTGCTGCGGAGTGCGTGTGCTGACAAGTCTCAGCATTTCTCATTCTGCGAGTGTGCAAACGCAGCAAGGTGCCAGTGTCGGGCAGGAGTGGGACACACAACTATCACTGCACCAAAGCCACAAGCAGGAGGAGGAGATCAGAGACTACCAGATCTGAGCCCAAAAGTGTCAGGCTGTCTTCAGTTCAACCCGAATCCGACACTTGTAGTCAGCATCCATTGAGCTTGAGTCAGGTTGTTTGTATGTGGTATTGTTGAGTGTATTTTAGAAGTATACACTTCTTTGTTTTACAGAAATGGCTCAGGGATCAATCAGCAGTGTATATGTAACATCTTCATCAGGTTCCACTTCAGATGTCACTAGATTTTCTGCCAGGTAAGTTAATGCATAAATTAGCGTTAGCCTGTATTCCATACGCTGTGCTGTCTTTAGTTCTGCCTCAGCTACCTGGTGTATCAGATGATTTTTTTGGGGTAATTCTGAGACAGGTATTATTTTTGCTATAATTATTCGTATTTCTTACCAGTGCCCATCTACCTCTTGGGGGAGCAAATGGACTGACCTTCACTCGAAGTAGTATGGCAGCTACCTCCTTTTGACATCTTCATATAAGTGAATTGTGGTTAATGTATGATGAGCTAACCAGTAACTTGTCACAAAACATGGGGAAATAAATTAGCTAGACTAGGATTAGTATAGAATAGTTTAGGTTTTAAATTTAGAGAAGGACTTTTTTCATATCACAAAGATACCACCTGGGTAGGGTTCTCGTTTGGTCATGGCTCCCTAACGCAAGGTAGGAACAACTTAGTTTCTTTGCTCATTGACAGCAACAGTAGTGGGCAGTTACTTTCTTTGTGCACCACTGTAGCCATATTCCCGTTCTGAGCTTGCCCATTTCCCTCTCTCTCTTGCTCATGTTATAGGTATTAGCTTAGTTTTTGCTGCCTCTTGCAGTAAACATGCTATATTTAAGACCAAAAGAAAAGGAGTACTAGTGGTACCTTAGAGACTAACCAATTTATTTGAGCATAAGCTTTCGTGAGCTACAGCTCACTTCATCGGATGCATTCAGTGGAAAATACAGTGAGGAGATTTATATACACACAGAACATGAAAAAATGGGTGTAAGGAGAGTGATCACTTAAGATGAGCAGATAAAAGGCATTCTGTACATTTTAAACCATTTTAAACAAGCAGTTTAATACAGGTACAAGTTTTAAACAATTTTAAAGAAACAATTTAATACTACAGTTATCATTGCTGAGTATGAAGCTTGGTTGAGGTGGAGGAGTCCGAGTGGAAGAGGGTGGATTGTCCGGCTGCTCCTCTTGCTGTTCTTACAAGCACAGGCACAGACTTTGCCGGGGGCGGGTGGCCCTCCTCACCCCCCCCCCCAGCTCACCTCTGCTCTGCCTCCTTGGGCCTGAGCGGGAAGCCGCCACCTGCTTCTCAGCCCACCCCAGCTTCCCGTGTGAACAGCTGAGAGGGAGCAGAGAAGCAGAGCGGGATGGCGCGTTCAGGGCAGGAGGCAGAGTGGAGGTGAGCTGGAGCGGGGGAGGCGTGGAAAAGCTGGGGGGGTGGTGCGTTCAGGGGAGGAGGCGGAGTGGAGGTGAGCTGGGGAAGGGGGAGCTGCCGGTGGGTGCTCTGCACCCACTAAATTTTCCCCTTGGGTGGTCCAGGGCTGGAGCACCCGTGGAGTCGGTGCCTAAGGCATCGCTTTTGGCTGGTTAAATTTAGAAGCCCTTTTAGAACCAGTTGTCCCTCGTGGAACAACCGGTTCTAAAAGGGCTTTTAAATTTAACAACCGGTTCCAGCAAACCGGCTCCAGCTCACCACTGACTATGGCCCCTGATGTACCAAAAACCTGAGGGTGTGTGAAGATCATGCCACATCTGCACCCTCAGGTCTGCCAGAGGACCCTGCTGGAGTGCTAGAGTCCTGACTCTCTTTCCTACCTTTGGTGCAGAGGAGGAAAGATGAGATGAGGGACAAGCTGTGCTACACAGAGGCATAACCTTTCACTATGCCATATGGTTGCCCAGAACCAACCCCAAACAACCAACTGGATTTTAGGGTTCAGCTGAGCACTTTCTAACTCACCAACCACACTGGAATGTACCACAGAGGACAGCAGTCAGAGTGGATGCCCTGCCAATTAGCTACAAAAGAAGCTACCCACTCTTTCAGATCCTTCAACAAAATATCTGACTCACTGTCAAATGTAGTCCATTCTCTCAGCACTGGGGAGATGTATTTAATTTCCACATGGGAAATTGCTTTATCATTATTGTGTACTTACCGGTTTCTAAGTTCATTTCTTTCACAAGAAAATTGAACTTTTAGTACTACTACATTTAAAAAACACACACACACACACACACACACACACACACAAAAAAAACAGCAATCACATGTTCTGTCTTGGTGTATTGCAGTGAAGCTGTTTCTGGCACAGACTGCCCTTTCTACACTAATGCTGACACATCTGTTTTGTTTTGTTTTTTTTAAACTCCTGGCCCAAATCCCTTTGTTGTAGGAGGGTGAACAGGTTGTATGTTTTTTAATTATAGTTTTGTTTTTTATCCTATGGATCCTGAAGCAACTGCTTTGGTTCTTTTTTGTTGGTTGTTTGCTTGTTTTTAACTTCTACAGTTGGGTTCCTTCTTTTGGGGGTACCTGTGTTCCAACTGCAAACACATACCATTTTGGCTTCCTCCCTTTTCCAGGCCTTTTCTGAAAAAGACTGCAGAGCATGCAACAAAAAACTTTAGATTTTTTTAAATCAAAATCACTTTTCTTGTGAGATTCCAGAGCCTCCTATTTTGACCAAGTCAAAAAATACTACAAATAAGATATTTCAGACATATTCCTGACATGTAAAAATGCATATGAATGGTCTGAAAATTAAAGTACACAGTATTATATCAAACAATTCAACCTGAGATTATGTTTAAAAGTAGCACTGTACAGTATCAAGCACATCTTAAATGAATTAGCTGGTAAATTAATAAGTCTGAGGGTGGCTGTCAATGGGAAATCGTCAAATGGGAGCCTGACACTAGACGGAGTAGTAAGTAATGAGGACAAGGGACGTCATACAAAGCAGTCAGGGGTATATTCTACACTGTGCCACCGTGCAAACCAGAGGGGTGTGAATTGTAGAGTGCCCTAACTGCCCTGTGTAGGCCTTGCTGGCACAAACGAAAAAGTAATGTTAATGTGCACTGAGTACCTTTTTGTTTGTGCCATCAGGATCTCTGCAGGGCAGTGAGAGTTCAACATATTAGTGCACTCCATAGTTCATACTGTTGTTTGCGCTAGTTCGATTGTTTGGTAAACTGCGCTTGTTCAAACAGTGGGGTTTTTTTTAATGTAGCTGAATACAGGGTTATATATCTAGAAGTAAATAATGCAGGCTGTACCTACACAATGGGAGAAAATGCCTTACAGGGAGAGACTTGGAGCTCTGTTAAATTCTTCAAAAAGATCAAGAGGTGATTTGATTGTGGATAAGTACCTTCACAGGGAGAAAATACTAGGTACTAAAAAGCTCTTTAATCTAGGAAAGAAAGGCATAATAAGAACCAATGGCTGAAAGTTAAAGCCAGACAAATTCAAGTGAGAAATAAGGCACAGATTTGTAACAAAATGATTAACCATTGTAACACACTATCAAGGGAAATGATGAATTCTCCACATCTTGAAGTCTTTGAATCAAGACTGGATGCCTTCTGGAAAATATGCCTTAGTTTTGATGAAATTCTATGGCCTTAATTAACAGGGTATGAGATTAGATGATTTGATGGCCCCTTCTGGCCTTAAAATCTGATGAGGTTCAATAAGGATAAGTGCAGGGTCCTGCACTTAGGACGGAAGAACCCAATGCACAGCTACAGACTAGGGACCGAATGGCTAGGCAGCAGTTCTGCGGAAAAGGACCTAGGGGTGACAGTGGACGAGAAGCTGGATATGAGTCAGCAGTGTGCCCTTGTTGCCAAGAAGGCCAATGGCATTTTGGGATGCATAAGTAGGGGCATAGCGAGCAGATCGAGGGACGTGATCGTTCCCCTCTATTCGACATTGGTGAGGCCTCATCTGGAGTACTGTGTCCAGTTTTGGGCCCCACACTTCAAGAAGGATGTGGATAAATTGGAGAGAGTCCAGCGAAGGGCAACAAAAATGATTAGGGGTCTGGAACACATGAGTTATGAGGAGAGGCTGAGGGAGCTGGGATTGTTTAGCCTGCAGAAGAGAAGAATGAGGGGGGATTTGATAGCTGCTTTCAACTACCTGAAAGGGGGTTCCAAAGAGGAGGGATCTAGACTGTTCTCAATGGTATCAGATGACAGAACAAGGAGTAATGGTCTCAAGCTGCAGTGGGGGAGGTTTAGATTGGATATTAGGAAAAACTTTTTCACTAAGAGGGTGGTGAAACACTGGAATGCGTTACCTAGGGAGGTGGTAGAATCTCCTTCCTTAGAGGTTTTTAAGGTCAGGCTTGACAAAGCCCTGGCTGGGATGATTTAACTGGGAATTGGTCCTGCTTCGAGCAGGGGGTTGGACTAGATGACCTTCTGGGGTCCCTTCCAACCCTTATATTCTATGATTCTAAAACACTAAACTTATTTGGAGTGAAATCTGGTAAGCAGACTTTTGAATGACTAAAATGTTCTTTGAACTATTTTTCAGTATGTTACATTAAACTATAGGAAAAGGTGCAATTGTCTACCCTCTCTGATTTGTTTAGCTCTTTTTAACGGTTGCAATTTGCCTTTGTATATGGATTTGCCATCTGGAGAAGGATACAATTTAAAAAATGTGATTAATAATGAAGTATCGCACCAGTTACAAAAGTAGGGCATTGGGGTGGTGGAGAGGAGTAGATGAAACCTTGATGACTTTTTTTCTTGGAAATGTTCAAAGTTTCATTAAGTGTTACACCTCAGTTACACTTCAGTTACAAGTAACAGTTTAATTAACATTTCTCACTTCTTTTAAAACTTAATTTTCTTACTTCAGTGACTTCACCAATGGTGGAGATGGGATGTTAGCGACAAGTTCCAATGGATCGCAGTACAGTGGCTCCAGAGTTGAAACACCAGTCTCTTATGTTGGAGATGATGACGACGAGGATGATGACTTTAATGAAAATGACGATGATGACTGATCCTTTTTGATTGTAGACTTTTCAGGAATAAAATTGTTCTAGGGAGAAAACGCACTCATGCGCGTGCGCTCTCTCTTGCGCTCTCTCTCTCTCTCTCTTTCGCAAAATATATATATATTTTGCCCCGTCCCACAAGGAAAATATTGGTAAGCAGTTCTGAGTTTAGAAATTGCACCTCAGATAAGCAAATAAGGATTGTTTTATGTAGGATATTTTTAAATGTGGTGTGGATGTGTGTTTTGATACCAGTGTGTTAATGCAGAGCCTTTATTATTTGCTCCTTTTTTTTACTTGAAGGAAAATGCATTTTGCCCCAAATGTTATTGCTAAGTTTGCTAAAGAAAATGTAGCCACATCAATGAAGAAATAAAATGCTAACGTTCGGTGGGAAATGGATACACTGAATGGCCATAAGTTTGGAGTGTATTTTGATGACAGCCTTTGTTGAGGGATGGCAAGCTCATGTAGTAGTTGTGGGGTTTTTTTGTTAATCATGCAGTGTCCAAAGAACCAAACGAGATCCATCTTACTTTTTTACATGTTAAATTCCATAAATGTTGTGAATTTATTTTCCCTTAAATAATATCTAACATGATTCCATCAAAGTTATATGCTGTTTTCACTGTATGTTGGGACATATGAATTACAAAGTTTTTGGCAAATGTTTACTGCCAGCTGATGCAGCTATATAAAATGTCTTGAAGGTTTGGAATGAGTTATTGCTTATGGTAAAAATTGCCTGATTTCTTACAGGCAGACTTTGGAAACTTTTTATTATATAGTTGTTTACATACTTATAAGTCTATCGTATAAAGACATGTACTGAAACAAATGTTTGTATTTGTTTCATAAGCATCTTCCTGTAATCTATTATAAAGTTGAAATTAAATATAGAGAATGTTTTAAGTTTTTTAACTCAAAATTGTCAATCATTTTTAATAGTTCATTTTTTATAAAAGGAATTTCAGGGCAGGTGGTAGTCTTTTAAAATTTATTCACAAAACATTTAACTGCACAGATACTGTCAGCTGCCTATCTAAGACAATAGTCTTTTTATTGAAACACAAATAAACTTTTCTGTAATATTTTATGGAATATAAAGAGACTTTAATTGTTTGACTTGTTTAACCTTGGCACTGTTAGTTTTTATTAATAAAACGCGCATGGGCATTTTTTAACAAACTCTGTGTTTTTCTAATTTAGGATTATTCTACCTAGAACTTTTAATCTTATTCAGGGGCTTAGCAGATATCCCCATGGTCATATGGAGGTGCAAGAGTCTAGAAGAACCCATTGTTTTTAAATGGGTAACCAAACAGATGTCGGGCTTCATCATACCCCAGGATGCATGTGTTCCTTTGCACTACTGATGTGAGCAACAGTCCTTCCTTAGCAGCTGAGGCAACCCCATCCACTTTTTTTGGGAAGAGTAGAAGTCACATCTGTATCTGCAAAGCCTATCACAATATTTGAGTGGCAGCACAAAGACTGGTGTGTCTCCTGAGTTCTAAAACTCATCAGTTAGGATTGGACAAGAAGAAAACATGTTAAGGAAGGCTGAAAGTTTGGGACAAAAAAGATAAAAAAAGAAGGGGTATAAAGCAGTTCCCAACCGTTTTCTCCAACTGCATTTAGCTGAGGCTGTGGTAGTGGAAAAAAAATAAATGAAGCACCTGAGTCTCAAAAGCTACCCCCTTTTCCTCATTTCCTGTCTCTGATTACTTCCACAAAACTGAAGGGGGAGAGGGTCTGAAATAGAAGCAGGATTGGAGCCGGGGATAAGGAAACTAATCTATTTACGCTGCCCCCACTTCAGAAATCCTTCCTAGCAAAGGCAGAAACCAGGAAGTCAAGAATATCCATTGGCTTCTTTTAAATTACTTGTCAAACTTCACTTAATGTGCTCTTCAAGTAATCACCTGCTCAGAATGGATCCCTTTGGTATATGGGGGAAGGAAAGAAAAAGCGAGAGCAAAAACATGGAAGAGAATGGGTTTGGGGAAGAGAAGAAGAGGAAAGGAACTGGCAGTGTAGACGTGGGGAGGTAGAGAACTAGAAGAGGAAAAAGATACCTGAAAGCTGGGGACTGCACAGTGAGACAGAAGGGAGAATTAATGAGAGAGAGTGGGGAGAAAAAAATAAAAATGGAAAGCAAAGCCAACAGACCCCCCCCACCAAGCCCCACTCCCCCAGCACCCAGGCTCCCCTGCTGAGACCCCCACTCCCAGATCCTTCCACTGAACCCCAACCACCTTCACCTGGAAGCCCCTGAAGAGTTCCAGTGCCCCTGCACCTGGAACCCCCCCCAACAAGCCTCTGCATCCAGATCCCCCACATCTAGACCCCCCACTTAGCTGCCTGCACCCATAGAATCACAGAAGATTAGGGTTGGAAGGGACCTCAGGAGGTCATCTAGTCCCACCCCCTGCTCAAAGCAGGACCAACACCAACTAAATCATCCCAGCCAGGGCTTTGTCAAGCCTGATCTTAAAAACCTCAAAGGAAGGAGATTCCACCACCTCCCTAGGTAACGCATTCCAGTGCTTCACCACCCTCCTAGTGAAAAAGGTTTACCTAATATCCAACCTAAACCTCTCCACTGCAACTTGAGACCATTACTCCTTGTCCTGTCATCTGCTACCACTGAGAACAGTCTAGATCCATCCTCTTTGGAACCCCCTTTCAGGTAGTTGAAAGCAGCTATCAAATCCCCCCTCGTTTTTCTCCTCTGCAGGCTAAACAATCCCAGTTCCCTCAGCCTCTCCTCAGAAGTCATGTGTTCCAGTCCCCCAATCATTTTTGTTGCCCTCCACTGGATGCTTTCCAATTTTTCCACATCCTCCTTCTAGTATGGGGCCCAAAACTGGACACAGTACTCCAGATGAGGCCTCACCAATGTCGAATAGAGAGGAACGATCACGGCCCTCGATCTGCTGGCAATGCCCCTACTTATACAGCCCAAAATGCCGTTAGTCTTCTTGGCAAAAAGGGCACACGGTTGACTCATATCCACCTTCTCGTCCACTGTAACCCCTCGGTCCTTTTCTGCAAAACTGTTGCCTAGCCATTTGGTCCCTAGTCTGTAGAAGTGCTTGGGATTCTTCCATCCTAAGTGCAGGACTCTGCACTTGTCTTTGTTGAACCAGATTGTCCCACACAGAATCCTCTCGCCCCCACCTGGATCCCCGCACATTTGGATCTTGCCCGGTTGAGCCTTCCTGCCCCACACCTTGTGAGCCTGGCACAGACGGGCAGGGCCCTAGCCTGTTTCTGGGGCAGGCCTTGTGCTGTGTCAGAATTGGGTGCAGCATCACCACTGAGTCACTGTTTCCGGGTTGGGGGGGTAGAGAGGCTGCAGGGTGATCTCCCATCTTCATTCAGCCAAGTGGCCTGTGCTGCCTACTGCCATGTTGGAGCCTATACATTCATTTATTGCTAAATAAAAACTTGCAGAATTTTGCAAAATTTTAATATATTGTGCACAGGATTTTTAATTTTTTGGCACAGAACGCCCTTGGGAATAAATAATAGATTTGAAAATAGATTATCTGGCATTGAGAGAAGACAATGATGGGGAAGTAACATATGGTCTCTCCCTTCATTTGCCAGCTCTTTTCTGTAACGTGTCCTGTTGATTACTATGGAAGGGGACAATAATATTTTGTAAAGATCGCAGTGTGTGTGTCTGGAAAGGATCTACTTCTAAATTGTGTTTCGGGCTGAATACACAAATTGTTATTGGCATTGTTGGTTTTCTAAAATGGCTCATTTTCTGAAGAAGGTACCACCTTTCTCTTTACGGCAATAGAAGTTCAGAAGGGCTTTGCAAATAAAGTGTTTACCAATTCTGGAATCAGAAATCGTTTGCTTTCCCCTATAGAATTTTGCCACTCTTTTCAAAAGAAAAGTGATTTTATCTTTTTTTTATTATTATTATTATTATTAAAAGAACACTTCTGGTCCTCTGCAGCCCAGGATAATTTCTTCAGAGGAAGGGTAAATAAGTAAAGATATGTGGTGCATTGGACCTTGAAGGTGATCATTTGGCAAATAGTTTAGATGAGGAGATAAGTGTAAGAAAGAAAAATCTTGGAATTTCTGCTATAGATGAATACAAGTAATTTGCATCTGAGTTATGAAACCTTCACCCCAATAGAAAACCTTACTGTGAATTTCGGTTTTTTGGTTTTTTTTTAAATGGACCTCTCTGCCACCACGTTAATGCAGCCTTCTTGTTCCAAAAGGGACCTTCACACAATTAGAATCAACTTCTTGATGGAGGGAGGTACTGTATATTGCCTTTCTCCCTTGATGGCCCACAATGTTCAGTGGGTTTTCCTTGCTCCCCTAGATTATTGGAAGCAGAGTAGACCTTTTGTCCTGGCTGTTTCGTAGTACCACTTGCTCTGAGCCTTTCCCAGATTTCTCTGACTCCAAGAAAGTACAGATAGTAGGCTATACACATCTGTGATAGCTTTTCTCCGATACATCTTGTTTCTTTCTTGTTTGGAATGTATAAAGGGAACATCAACTTTTTTAAAGTTTGACAAGTACTAATATTGGACCAGTATTTAAAATGGGCAAATGTGATGGGGTAACTTTTGGCTGGCTAGTTTTACATCAGTTCTGGGCAGAATAATAGAAAAGCTGATACGGAATTCAGTTGGTAAAGATTTAAAGCAGGGAGTAGTCAATAGGTTGACCAAGGGCCAAATTCAAACCACCAGACACTTTTGAATGGACCCTGAGATCTTTTTATTTACTTATTTTTATCATTGTTATTTTTATTATTTTCTCTGAAGTCTGGACCTTGACTATACCTTGACCAAGAAATTTGGACCTTGACAAAAATAATTGATTACCCCTGATTTAAAGGATAGGAGTATAATTCATTCTTGAAAACACAGTTTTATGCAAAATAAATCCACATCCCTTAGCAACATAGTTACACCAACTTAACCCCCTGTGTAGGCAGCACTATGTCGGTGAGAGAGCTGCTCCTGCCAACTGAGCTACCGCCTCTCAGGGAGATGGATTAACTACACCAACAGGAGAAGCTCTCCCCTGTTGGCATAGGAGCGTCTTCACTAAGTGCTATAGTGCTTCGAGCAGGGGGTTGGACTAGATGACCTTCAGGGGTCCCTTCCAACCCTGATATTCTATGATTCTATGATAACAATTGTACCAGTGCAGCTGTGCTGCTGTAGGTGAAAACAAGCCCTTAGGCTTCTGTAAGGTGTTTGATTTAGTACCTTATGACATTCTGATTCAAAATTAGCGCTATAAAATATTAAAAAAGCACATGATATATGGATTAAAAACTAGCTAACTGACAGATCTCAATAAGTAGTTATCAATGGGGAATTATCAACTTGGTATTTCTAGTGGGGTTCCACAGGGATCATTTCTAGGCCTAATGCTATTCATAATCTTCTATTAATTGCTGAGTAAATACAAAATCATTCCTGATGAAATTTGTGGAAGACAAAGATTGGCGATACAGTAAATATAGATGAGGACAGGGCAGTCATCAGAATGATCGGGATTGCTTGGAGCTGGGTCCATTTAAACAAAATGCATTTTAATACAGCCAAATGCAAAGTTATACATCTAGGAACAAATAATTCAAGCTATAATTACAGAATGCAGGACTATATCCTGGAAAGCAGTGACTGAAAAGGACAAGCAATTCAATGTGAGTTCCTAGTGTAACATGGTGGCAAAAAGGGCTGATTGTATATGCTTTAGATGTGTAAGTGGGAGTAATGAGGAGTAATAGTAGGGAAATGATTTTACTTTTGTACCCAGCATTGGTGAGACCAATACTGTGTCCAGTTCTAGTGTTCACATCTTAAAAAGGATGTCGAGAAATTGAAGAGGGCACAGGAAAAAAAACCACATTATTCAGAGGCTGGAAAAAATGTCTTGGAGTGAGAGACTTAAAGAACTTAATCTGTTTTGCTTGTCAAAAAGAAGATTCCATGGGCTCTTTAATCCAGAGGAGAAAAGTTTAACAAAAATTTAGGGGTGGAAGCTGAAACCAGACAAATTTAAAGTTAGAAATTAGGCACAAAACTTTTAACTGTTTAGGGTGGTTAGCCACACCCGTGGGAAAAGCTACCAAGAGAAGTGGTGGATTCTTTCTTCTGGTCTTCAAGGAGTTACTGCATGTCTTTCTGAGA